TGGGAATGCCACGTCGAGATATGGAGCGTTTGAATGAATGAAGAAACGCTACTGCTGACATGTCTTTCACCACTTCGAGGTGAACAGCGCTGGTTGTGAGGCATGTGTAAAGGCAGATGTAGCACTTATTGTACTCTTTAATCTGATATGGTCCCATGAAGTCGCATCCGTTTTCTTGAAAGGTTTTGTCAAAGTGACTCTACCGTTTGGTATTGATGGCATTTCCGAGGCGCCGAACGGAGGCCCTTGCCATTTTGTGCATGTAACGCATTGTTTTGCCATTTTCTTGTAGGCACCTGACGGTCGTGGTATCCAAAACCGTGCTCTTGCAATACACGTCGTGTGGTCTTTGCCACTATGTGCGTTTTGGTGATGGATATCACTGAGAATGAGTCTCGCTAGGTCGGAGTCCTTGTCGACATAGATAGGATTTTTGGTGTCCTTGGGGAGAACCGAGTTCTGCAACCGGGACTGATGCCGTATGATGCCCGCGTTGTCGCGAAAGACTTGTTTCTGAGCGAACCTTTTGCGAAGGTCCTCTACCGAAATTGCTTTGTGTAGGTCTGCAAGCAGTAAGGTTTCGCTCATGGAGAACTCGTCTGTTGACTTTGTCTACCCACAAACAGATGGTTTTGCACACTCTAGCCATTGTCCGTATGACCGTATCTAGGCGAGAAAAGCGAGCATGTGAGAGGAGACCCTGAGCTGCAGGTGAATCGGGTGATGTTCTTGCGATGTGCAAGCTTGTCGTATTTATATCCGCCGCATCATCATCCTGTGCCTCGAGGGTGTCACTCACGGTTGTGATTTTTAATACCAACGGCTAGGGTATTTGTGCTTCACGAAGCCAGTTTGCCCCAAGAATACATGGAAGCTTGCGGATGTATTCTGAATCCGTCCCACGCGTTCCAGCGTCAGCAGGGTTTTTGTCTGTTGGAACATGCCAGAAATTTATTGACGTCCCTTGGGTCTCTACTGCCTGTTTCACCTTCATAATACGGTACCTCTGGTTTTCCACAAGGGCGGGTAAATTGCCTTTACTTGTTACCCAAGATAAGGCTACCTCACTATCGCTTAGGATATTGATGTGGGAGACTGGCTTTTTGCTGGCTGCGACAATTGTCTTTCCGAGACGCACGGCCATGAGTATGGCCAACAGCTCAAGCTTCGGTATAGTGCTTGATTTTTTTTCGTTGTGAGCCTGGTCTTTCCCCTCGTTAGCGGAGATACCTTCAAGGTATGTTCGTTTCGAAAATAGGCGCACACTGCTAATGCTTGAATGCTGGCGTCTGAGAATACCCAGAGCGAGAATGAGTCGATGTTATCTTCGAAAGGGAAGCGAGGGACTGATAAAGAATGCTGTTCATTTTTGAACAGGTGTCGTCCCAAATATCAGCCAGGTCTTTCGAGACTGGCTCTTTCCACTCGATAGTGCGGTCATATATCTCTCTCATTATGTGTTTGAGGTGGATTGTTAGAGGTGTTGCTATTCCCAGCGGGTCGTATATGGACTTCAGTTGACTGAGAACGTCTTGTTTCGTCAAATTTTTGTTGTCAGGGAATTTGAGCTCAAGCATGAATTCGTCCGATTCGGTACTATAGGTTACTCTCAGTAATTTTATGGCTCCGCCAGGGGCTCTGTCATATACGGGAATGACACTATTGACTTCGTTTGAATTAGATACGTACTCTCTGAGGTTCATCCCGATTTCTGCAAGCAATGCTTTGCTTTCGTGGTACTTTTGAGAGCTTATGATGGAGTATCCGCCGAGAGGAGTATGTTGTCGACATATAGATTTCCGCCGATCTCTTTGGCAAGGTTGTTATTTTTGCTTTGCAAGAATGGGAAGAGGCACATATTCAGAATACTGGGCGAGGGCTTAGCTCCGAAAGGGATTCTCTTGAATCGGTATTCTATGATGTTGTCTTGAGTAGGGGGCTTGCTAGCATCTTTGAGCCAAAGAAACCTACAAAGGTCTCTATGGCTTTCTTTCAGTCTTATTTGAGTGAAGGCTGCTTCGATATCACACACCAATATGATCTTGCATGTTCTAATTGCTACGAGGATGTCATGAATCTTATTCACGAGTGATTCTCCTTTATAGGTGACGTCGTTGAGGGGGAGTTGTCCTTTGCATTTCGAGGAGGCGTCAAATACAACACGCAACGGTTTTTGCTTGTGAGGTTTCCACACGCCTGAGTGTGGCATATAGTACGCCCCAACGAAGCCAGGAGCCTTATCTTCCACTCGTTCAATGACGTCTTATCTTCATACTGTTTGAGTGTTTTGCTATACCACCCCTTTTTAGTAGTGTTTTGTTCTAGATGAATGTAGAGATTCATCAACCGCTTTAAGGCTGTACTGTAGTTGTCTGTTATATTTTGCACAGTAGTTTTCAACGGGGATGGAGCTGTGACGTATCCATTCTCGAATGAAACTTGGTCAGAGTATTTTTTGAAGTATTCAAGAAAGTTGTTGTTCCCTATGCATTCATCGGAGGTGATTCCCAGACCCTCAAGTTCGAAAAAATTACTGAGTAGTTCTCTTTCCATCTCTTCGATTGCTATCATATTGTAAGTAAGGGAAGGGGTTGTGAGAGTGCCACCGCTTATATAATTTGATCCACGCCATACAGTGTAGGGCCGAAAATTGTACTAGCTATTCGCAAGCCTGAAGGAGTCGTGAGGTGCTCGCCGCTGTCGAGGACGAAACTGTAGTAGTGGTCTAGGCCTACCAAGATGTAGGGTATGTGGTGCTCCCCTCTTACATTTGGACTACAGGCGAGGAAGTTCCGTTTTTCGAGAAACTGCTGATCGACGGGGCCTAATTTGACCGCAGGGAAACCATTTGTCAATATAGGTTTTGTCTGTATCAATATTTCCAGATCTCTTCCGTAGGCCGTGCCGATCTTCACGTGCACGATGTTACTTTGGACTGTCTCTTGTTCCTCCTATACCAGACATGATGCATGTCTCTGTTTTCAATGTAGGCAGCTTTAATGACATGCGAGATCCTCCTGAATTACCGTCTTCTGAGCGTCAATGTCAAAGAAAAAAATGACTTTCTCAAAGCTCTGCGTACCGTGCTTCCAGATGGATCCCTCGGCTGTCATTAGAGCTATTTGCTCATTTTTC